TTTTGAAGTTTGTGTGCAGTCAAACATTTAATCCATGGATGAGGCAAGATGCAAAGCATGATGAAAGACAGAAGAAATTCTGCAATATCCACATTCCTTATTTTAACCATTTTTACATCATTGTGCAATAACACAATACAAAATGGAAAAATGTTGACCAAATATTTTCATAGGCATCACTGCCACAAACAACACTGGAGTGTTCGACAACAAACTGTTTTATACTCAGAAAGTATATACAATCTCTCCTATACCAAGCTATTAAATCACTTGGTTATTTCCATAACATCAGACAACATGACACTTGCACCAGATGTCTGTAGTTAGAGTGTAGTGCCTGGATGCCATGCACACGTGGAAAACATTGTTCAGATAAAAAAAACACCCTGCTGAACCCAGAGGATTTGCTAGAGAGAAAGAAAAGTGTCTGGTCCCATTGTACAATTTACACTTGGAATGTTTAAGACATCTTATTCATTAGCACTAAAGGGAAATGAGTCCTTTACAGTAGGGATGGGCGATATCTTATCGTTTGCGATATATCGGTAAAAATTCTCCCCACGATGAGAATTAGTCTTCCCGCGACAACAACAATAAAGACTAGTTGTTGACATATTTCTGTGTGCGACAGTGCGGAGCAACATCGTGGAAGGTGGATGTGAAATTGAGGAGGAGCAGCCTATATCGGTATGTCTCTATCTCCGTTGTGCGTTTTATTCAGCGATAACTGGATGCGATAACTGGATACCTTCCTGGAGCGTCATCAGTAGTATTACTTCTGCTATGGATATGGGGAGTTTCTGTGCAAGAGTGCCCTCCGGCTTCCAGTATGAATTAAACAGTCTTTACATTATGTGTGAACTCATTAACCTCTTAAGACCCGGCAAAACATGTTAGGAAAAAACTTCGCCCGCCAAGCACGTTCTATAAATAGCCTAAATTAGTGTCGGGCAATAAATGATATCATATCGAGATTGATCAAATTTACGTTAATGATGATAAGCTCTGGAAATTTTTACTCAATATGGATTAATCTAACATCCTATCACACAACAGAAATATATGTTACAGTAACCAGTCAGTGCATGTCACTAATAAGTCTGCATGTTCTGTGTGAATGGGTGGAGTAGTTTCATCTGATACACAAACTCAAACACACGTGTTTTCAGCGTCTGCGTCTCAATATATGAGGACATGAACACATGCACTTCATCTTCAGAGCTGCTCATAGAGTCACTTCACCAGCTTTATGCAGTTTCATTTGAGAAAAAATACCGTCAAATACATGCTGAAACTAAAACTGAAAGACCTTCATGACAAACCGTCAAAATAAAAGCCCGGTTTAACTTGAAATTATATGACTGAATATATTACTACTGTATACTACAATGCAATTCTCAAAGTAATAATAATATTATTATTTTTAAGGAATATCATACAACCAAGTTATTTTTTATTATTAATTTATACAGTTCTGTTGAGCAACATCATGTCTGATAAAAAAATTAAAAAATGCAATGTTTTGTTGTAAATTGATTTTCATTTGATTACATTTTAAAAGATTGATTAAATTGTTAAAGTTTTATTCATTTTATTAAACACCCTTTTTAAATACATTTTTGATATTAAATCATAAAATAGAAAATAAAATGAATTTTTGCAAGATATCAAATAAATAAATAAATAAAGTATGTATGCATGTATGTATGTATATTGGAGTAGATCAAACAAGAAGCCCTTGAGACTATTTTATCCCTTCAGGGAGCCCTCACTCACAAAAAGGTTGGAGACCCCTGCTCTAAAGAAACAGGATTCCCTGAATTATCGTCATTGATATCGCTATCGTAATAAATACCAGAAATATCGTGATATATTTTTAAGCCCATATCGCCCATCCTTACTTTACAGTCCAACCAGTGGCTAGTAATTCAAGTGTGAGTCTCCGTGACAAACTTTGCAATCATATTAAAGGTCAAATCAGGTTCAGCCAGGGTGACATCATACTGCGAATTCAATCTGCTGTAATTCAGTGTTGCTTTGTTAGCAACAGGAGCAGTTTTCAAAATAGAGTAATTTGTTTGAGAAAATTCAATCAAGCCCAGCCTTGAGAGCAACATTGACACAGCACAAGCTCAGACTGTGGAGTCTGAGAAACACTGTAGCTTTTGACAGAGCTGATACATGGCTGACAGAGATGCTTTTCATCAAGAAATACAGTCTCCAGAGTCCAGACTGACTCTCTGACTCCAAAAAATAACCAAGTGGAAGCTCTCAAAAGCATAGATGAGAGACAGGCTGATCACCAAACTTTTTTTTTCAAACTGACCGTAACAGAGAAAGCATGACAACGTCCTTCATTTCTGTATAAAGTTAAATTTCCTGACAAGTTTTATCTGCTAAAGGGCCTGTAGATCAAGTGGATGGAGGTGAATAGTTTGTTCCAGCAAGTTCACGCTATAAGCACACTGTGTTTATCACCAAGGACAAAACTGAACTCAAACAGCATGTAAAAGGTGTCTGACTTGATCATAAACTAATCTTCAGGGCAAGATTATCTGACACTTCACAACTAGGGGCAATGTGAAAGGAACTGAACTCCATTCACTCAAGTTTTTAAAGTTTGAAAGGGGATCCTTGACTTAAGCAGAATAGCAGATTAACAAGCCCTCACTCAGTGTTATTTTACTATTATAATTGAGATACTATTATAGGGTCATTCCATGTCAAATCAACCACATTTCAGAAACTTAATGCAGTTGTTTTGAAACGAGATACATTTCTAGTTTCAACTATTTGTTCTTCAGACATTCCTCTTTAAAAGAAAAGCATCACATTTCTAGTTTCAACATAATTTGTTCTTCAGACATTACTCTTTAAAAGAAAAGAAGCATCATATTTATGCAAAGTCACCCACATTTGGTTTTTGACCACTGAAAATGTGTACAATTTAAGGATTTACTCCTAGAGCCATACTGAAATTCCAGTATCTCTGGAACCGAACCATAGGGCCTTAAAAATGAAGATGCCAAAAGGAAAAAGTTTGTTAAGACCCAATATCTAAAAGGACATTAAGATATCTTTAATACTTCTAGAGTTACAGGCATGCAAACTTCGGAGAAAAAACTTAAAAGACCAACACCGGCACATAAAGCAACAAAGATTGCTCAAGTCAACAGATTTTACGATGATCAGATTATGATGCTCATGCTGCTATCTTTCTGAAGTCATTTTTAACCCCCTATAATTTGGCTCTGAATCTCAGGTGAAAATTGCCATTTTGACCCCCCTCTACAAAATAGTGGATTATTCAGTAAATATTAATTCATGACATAATAATCTGGCTTTCATCACTATATACATGTTTATCTTTCTTCAGAAAAAAATTAGCAAAATCTAAAATTTGAGCCGGGGACCTCTGGTTGAGACGGAATGACCCCATCACATTTATTCATATTTTGAATTAGTTTGTATTTTTATATTTTTCATTTTGAAAATAAAAATGTTGCCTTGGCAGCTAGCTGAAATAAAATGAGTACTTTTTAAAATAATTTTATTTATACGTTTTATTTGTAAAGTTTTAGCTTACTACAACAACCCTGCACTCAAAACAACAAGAGAATAAAAGACAGTGTCTGAGGTGATCAGCTACAATTAAATAACATACCTAATACTAATAAGCCTATACTTATGTTCAGACAAACATGGCTAAATATACATTAAACTCACTGGAATTAATTGATGACATACATGAGTGACACTGAGGCCTGAAATGCACAATCATATTAGCCACTCTGACAGCACTCATTTACCCAGAGTGTGACATTTCAATCACTGTTCCTTCCCTTTTGCCTATCAGTACTATGTGTTCATTGGTGTCATGTGGTGTGAGGTGTTTCACACAACAAAATGTACCAAAATACAAAAGCCAGCACACTAATATTGCTCCCCAACCTGAGTCTCAAATCTAGTGAGTTACCAACCTAGACAGCATTTTTTTTGGACCCAAATGCTTTTTGCATACTGCATTTAAACTCACATTTAATCCAAAACAATTTCAGTAAACCGGTAAACTGTTTTAGTTTCACACCTGTAATTTTCAAGGGGATGAGCATCACTTTTAATCCTGGGTTAAAGGGGTCATATGATGCGATTTCAAGTTTTCCTTTCTCTTTGGAGTGTTACAAGCTGTTCGTGA